TAATCACATAACCCTTTTAAACAGTTTTCTCCCTCATCTGTTTCAATGCAGTATACATTATTGAACCCATCTTTCTCAGTCTCTCCCCAACCCCAAGATCAGTCCTGTTTTACAACAGTGGCACCGTGCAGTATTTGTCCCCTTGTGACTGAGATACTTCACTCAGCATAATGTCCTCCAGGGTCACCCATTTTGAATAATATTGCATGAGTTCCTTGTTTTTCAATGTAGCGTAGTAGTCCATTGTGTGAATACACCACAGCTTCTCTATCCATTTGTTTGTTGATGGGCACTTAGGTTGTTTCCAACTCCTTGCTATTGTGAACAAAGCCGCAATAAACATGGGTGTGCAAAAACATCTGTGTTTTACATACAAGGTCAGCAGGGTCTGGTGGGCAATCACAATGAACAAAAAGTAAAGCCTGCAAGGTTCATTCTCCTGGTCACCATGCCAAGTATTAAACAATGTGTGTGTTTTTCATCAGCAACTGAAGAGTGACAGCCACTCCCCTCACCCCGCATCTGAGAGTCCTTTATGCAGTGGACAACCTGAGCGACGATGCTTGACAGCTCTGCCTGCTCCTACCTGTACTGAGGACCTTGCACAGATCAGCTGAGTCATGGGGTTAGGGGAGAACAGGGAAGTAAGAAGTTTCCCTCCCTGGGTACATTTATGCTTGGAAAAAAAGACAACTCATGGGGACCATGGATAATGAAAGGGCTGCTATGGGGTCCAAGAATCAGATTTGTTCTAGGAGATAAGGGAGAGCAAGCTCCATGAGAGCTGGGTGAAGCGTCTAGCATCCTGCCCAGCACACAGTTGTGCTGTTCATTCTGATTCCTGGGACCCCATGTACAACAGAATGAAAGCACTGCCCGGGCCTGCCTCCTCTTCATAATTGTTGCTGTGTTTGAACCCATTGTTGGAGCGACTGTCTCGTTCGATCTGGTAGGCGCCCACTTGATACTTGTGGGTGATGACTCAACAGCTGTCCTGCAAAGGAATAGACTGCTTCTGGGAGGTGGGTAGTGAGCTCATTGGCACTGTAAGTGTGCAAAGCTACTGGGCGGGGATGTTACTGGAAGCCGTAATGCCTTTGGTGAGGACCACAGTGTGTGTGGTATAATATTGCGTGATCTTGCCAGCCCCGAGATTCTGAGAAGCTATGAATTATCCATGGGGTTCAGTAAAGGCAGACTGATGTCAGTATTAGCCGAAGCAAAACCTAATTAGGAAGGCAAATTGACTTCCAAAATAAGAATCGAATAATATGTTCCAGGACTGTTAGAAATGGCTTTTAAATTGTCTTCTCTTTTGTATTATTCATGCAATTGTGTATCTTTGAGCTAAGTCAGTGTCTCACTTTCTCTTCTCTCTTCCACCTGCTCTGAACAGTTCCTTCTTTGTCCCCAGGCTCCCTGCTGGGAACGTGGCAATGACTGGGTGTCAGTCCCTGTACCATAGCTTCTCATAACCTCACAGAGACTCTCTCAGCTGAGACTAGCCCTTGCTCAGACTAGTGCACAGGGCAGCAGGGGCTCAGATAAAGACTCTTCACTAAACTGTGAGAAGGCTTCTCAGATGAGGTGCTCTCAGAGGAAAAGTAGGGTTTTGTAGGACAAGGATGAGGTCACCTTGCCAAAGAATAGTTCAAAAGATCAAAAACTATTAGTCCCACATTTGCACAAGGAAGCATGACAAAAGAGGTTCCTGGCAGCATTTTTTATGATAACAAAAGACTGGAGATAACCTAAATGCCATCAGCAAGAGGCCTATTTAAAAAAAGATTGATACAGACCCATCATGAAATATTATACAGCCATGAAAAAGACACAGGTAACCTTGCAGAGAGGACCTCTGGAATATGTTGTTAAGCAGCAAAAACAAGAGGAATAACAAAGTTATGAAATATATCTATATACAAAAGAAAGAAAAGTATATATAGTTATGTTTGGTGTTCTGTGCGTGGATTAGCTCCAGGGGCAACTACGAAAATTCATTACAGGCCTGTCCTCTGGGGAGGGTGAACTGGGGGGAGGGAGGAGCATGGCATTTTCCCTTTTGGAATTTTGAGCCCCATAAATACATCATCAGTGTTAAGAGATATATTTCTTTTTAAAAGAAAGATTTTTAAAAAAAAAATCATCTGTTAGTTAGATTCACAGAATTGAGTCAAAGGAACGGATTTGTTCTTTAAAAAGGGAAACTCTGGTGGCTTAGTGGTAGGAAATTGTACTGCCTTTTGAGAAGTTCATTGCCTGGGTTCTTGCTGATACGTCAACTCAAAAGGGCTCTTCAGGTTAAGGCGTGATAAGGATCCTCTATTGCCTTTTGGGAAGGATTGAAAGTTTCATTTGGGTCCTTTGAGTGTTTATATATCTTTCATATTGAGTTAAAAGATAATGATGATGCTTTCTTTTTTTAAAAAAAAGAAAGAAAGAAAAAAGGAATTGTACTGCCAACCCAAAGGCACGCAGTTCAAATCCACCAGCTGATCTGTGACTTCCTGCCCCTGACACCCTGCTGGAGCGTCAGCTGTGAGTCAGTTCTGACAGCAGTGACAACAATGGAAGTGGTTTAATTTAAAAGGGATTGAGCTCTGTCACTTACCAGCTTCTCTGGGCAAGCAGACGGCAACTTCTCTGAACTTCAGGGAAATGGGTCACCTGGGTATCGTTGTGAAGCGACCCATCCCCAGATTCTCAGCTTGCAGGAGGCAGCACCTTTCATTCCTGTGATAAGTCAGCAAGTCCTGGAGTCTCCAATAATAATAATAAGCAAAGACAGAATCCAGGGCCTGATGATGGTAATGATTGTGGTAAGAGTATGTGTATAACTCAGCTGCAGATAAATTAATCAGAGTCTCAGTAGATTTTGTACCATTGTCATTGATCTGGTCCAGGCCCTTTCCCTTGACTCACCCTTTCCTCTCCCTCACCTTCAATAACCTAGTGCCACTGTCATCTTTGCAGACGGCCTTGGCTTTGTATTTCCTGGTTTACTAGATGTTGCCTTTATGTTGCCTCGAGTTGGCTGTGACTCGTAACAACTCTTATGAACACTGCCTCGTCCTCAGTTAATCCCACACACTTGCCTCCATCTTATCCAGAGGCTGCCTCTCCTGTGCTGACCCGCTATCCTTCCAAGCATGATGTCCTTCTTCAAGGACTAGTCCCTCCTGGAAAAATGCCCAAATATGTGAGACGGAGCTTCAGAATCCTTGCCTCCATGAAGCACAGCCTGGTTTCACCCTCTCAAAGGCATTGACTCTTCTGTCAATCCTTAGTCATTGTCCAGCTCTCAGATACATAGCAAATAATTGAGAAGATCATGGCCTGATCAGACGTATTTAGTCTCTCGTCTGACATTGTTGCTCCTTAGCACTCTGCGAGGTCCCTGACAACAGACTTTCCTAAAGCAAGTCATCTTTTGATTTCCTGACTGCTGGCACTAAGAGTATTGATTGTGGACCTGAGCAAGATGAAATCGTTAACAATCTCAGTCTTTTCTCCATCTATCATGATGATGGTGAGAATCTTTGCTTTCTTATTTTTTTTCCTTATTGTATTGAATTGGGAAGGATTGAAAGTTTCATTTGGGCCCTTTGAGTGTTTATATATCTTTCATATTGAGTTATTGAATTGGATCCAACTAACACTAGAGAAGATTACGCCTCCTTCTCCAGCGGAGCATCTAGTGGATTCGAACCGTGCACCTTCGGGATTGCAGTGCAGCTTCTTTGCCACTAGGCCACCAGAGTTCCCTTAAGAATCTTTGTTTTCTTGATATTGAGATGCAACATGAAGAAACACAAGATGACATGCCAATGTGTATATGTGTCTGGGTCTGTATTCTGAACCGTAAACTAGTTAAAACATTTTTAATTAAACACCATATTTGTTTCAAGCATCTGCAGTTGCTCCCATGGCCACATATTTTAGCCACATCCTGGCAGATAGGCCCCCAGGTTTTCCCAGTACTCACTCCCGATAAACAGTGCAGTGAAATCATCATCAAGTCCCTCTCGGGCCTGTGGGGGAATTCTCGTGCAGTGTAGACCCAGGGACAGGATCACTGGGGCATAGGGTGTGGACACCACAGCTTCTCCAGATCCTGCCAGCTGGCCCCCAGCACGTCTGTACCACCCCATTTACCACCACAGAGCACATTACAACTGCCCCCCCTTACCAGCACGTCCTATTTTTCCTACTCTGACACCTGCCATGGACCTACTCTAACCCCTGCCATGGACCATCTTTTCTACAATATTGCCTTAGAAAATTTTTTTTTATTGTGGTGTGAATGAATGTTTATGGAGTCAGTTGGTTTTCTGTTCAACAGTTCTTACACATTTTGGTTTGTACTTGCAATCTCCACATGCACTGGCACGATTCCAGCTTCCTCTCCTGTTCACCACTTCTATTCATCCTTCTTTCGGGTCCTTTCCCCCTGAGCCTTGCCCCTGGGTGAATGCTTCTCTTTTGATCTCGTATGTCTGACAGCCCTAAGGAGTGTTGTCGTTCACCTTATGGGATTGTCTGTTGTTCAGCTATAAGTTGAGTTATGGGATGAATTCAGTTCCCTTATGAAGCATCTCTCGGGTCCACATTCTGGGGAGTGCCACCCATATCTGTTGGACCAGTGAATCTGGTCTTTATTCTTACTCTTTAGAGTTTCACTACAATTTCTGTTTCTTCCATTGTTAGCCACTGTCCTGGGTAAAGGCCGGATTGCTCTCTCTTCCCAGGGTTGAGAAGAGAAGGGACTGGTGTGCCCAAGGGCTCTACTTCTTGGCCAGGCCAGATCCTGTGTCCTAGCCAGGGTGAGGGAGACTTACCCTCCCTGCCTCCTCACCGCTGGGCTGGTACATTTCCAGAGGATAGCTGGAGGCTCAGGGGACCCGTGGAGAGAAAGGAATGCAGGGATGGGGCAGCAGCAGAGGCCCACATGGAACTGCACGCAGCTGGGAACTGATTTTCTGTACTCCTCTGTCCCCCAGGTCGCCCGATCTCAGGGGAAGGGCATCTTCCTCTTCCGGCGCCTGAAGGACATCATCGACTGGAGGAAGGTGAGCTTGTCCTTCCTACCTGCTTCTCTGTCTTCACTGGGAGGCCCCCTTTTCAGCTCCCCCTGAGTTCTAAGGGCTGATGGTGAAGCTCTACTGAGTGAAGTGGGCGTCTCTAGAGTCAGAATGTCTCAGTTCCTGTCCTGACTTTGCCACTTAATAGCTATGTGACCTTGGTCAAGTTACTTCCCCTTTCTGTGGCCTGATGAATGACCATGGTATTAGTACCTGCTAAGCGTACAGTGAGTTACTGCCTCTTAGGAGTGCACTGTGTCTGGGGCTTAATAAGCGCTCACTGCATGCTCTCTATCTGGGCCTCCTGCCCACCTGACTGAGGGGAGTTTGGTTGACTCCCCCACTGAGGTCCTAGACTGAGCCCCAGAGGCAGCTCTTTCCTCCTTTCTACTCAATCCCAAAACTGGTTGCAGCAGGAAGCCTAGTTCAAATCCTGCTTCTGCCACTCAGCAGTTGTGTGATCTGGGGAGAACCTCAGCCCGGGTTGGGCAGTCCGACCATGAGATTGAACTACTGCACCGCTGGGCTCAGTGGGTGAACTTCCACACACACCCAGCCCCACGTCTCAGTTCCTCCCATAAACCATTGGGGCGCTGTGGGGAAGCAGCTCAAGCCATCAGGAGCTCTATCAACTGCACTGTCAGCCACATGAGTGTAGAAGGTGGTGAGGTCCCAGCAGGGCAGGCCTGTGGGCCTCTGTCTTGAAATAGCTGGAGGTGATGGTTGGAGTGAAATGCTCTACCTTTGGAGCCAGAAACCCCGTGTTCCAGGGCTCGCTGCCACTAGGCTGCTTTGCGACCTCTCCAAATGTGTGACACTGCTCTCAGGCCTCAGTTTCCTTAAAGCGGGAGTCAGTGAGTGGGAAAGGACTCTGCAAACTTTGATGTGTTGTGCACATGTGTGAGGGAGCATCCCTGCCGCCTGGTGCTGTCTGGAAGGAACTAGAAGGGAGAGGTTTGCTTCTAGGGCCCTGGGCGGTGGTCTGGGCAGCGCTGCCCAGCGGAACTTTAAGCAGTGATGGGTATGTACGAGTCTGTGCGATCTGCACTGCGATCACCCCTAGCCACCTGTTATGACTGCTGAGTTATTGAAATGGGGCCAGTGTCACAGAGGGACTGGATTTTTCGTTTCATTTCATTTTCATAATCGTAAATATAAATGTCAACAGTCACGTGTGGCTGGTGGCTACTGTATTGATGGGGCAGGTCTAGAGCCTAAATGTCTAGCTTCTGACCCCATATGAGTGGACCACATCCAGTGGTACCACTGACTGGCTGTGCGACCTGGAGCAAGTCACTCACCCTCGCCATGCTTCAGTTTCTCATCTGTAAAATGGGGATAACCTTAGTGCTTCCTTAAAGATCAAATGAGATCCTCCACCTTGGAGGCTGAACTCAATCTCTAGGATGCAAGGGATGCTCAGTAATTGTTCTTTGTTCTGGTCACAACTAGGACACAAGAGGCTCCGATGACCAGAAGGAGGAGATTCCCGTGGAGAACTATGTAGCCCAGCGTTACATTGAAAATCCCTACCTGATAGGAGGTGAGATGTATAGCTCCCTGTACAGACACTCTTGCCCAGTGTGAGTGAGTCAGTCAGCAACCCCTGGCTAGCGGCAGCCCACGGTCCAGACCGACTCCAGGCATGAAGAGGTGCAGCCCCAGACCTAGCATGCGCCGGGCTGGCAGGAGGCACTTGGTACACACGGGTCACTCAGATGAACACTTTCCTTGCCTGACAGGCCGCAAGTTCGATCTGCGAGTCTATGTGCTGGTCATTTCGGTGAGTTGCTGATCATTTCGGTGAGTTGCTTGGCAGGGCTCTCTCAGCAAGGGCAAGTGGGCACTGGGTTGGAGGCATGGAGCAGAGCCCATCTGGGGCACCTTGACATTGAGAATGTACAGCTGGTCTGATTTTGTCTCTGCCTGGGTGAACCCTGGTCGGAGACATCAGGGGACAAGATAGGGATGGGCAGAGATAGGCAAGTTTGAGCATCTTGGTGTTTCAGCACCTAGATGTGCCTTTACTGGCCTCCTTATCCATCCAAGCATCCTGCTAATCACATTCTGGCATTTATTTAGCACCTACTGTGTACCTGAAGGCTCTGGTGCTTAGTGTTGTTTTATTTTCTCTTCTCTGGTCCTCCTAATAGTCCACAGGATGTTAATGCTACTAACCCGAAGGTGGCGTCTCTCTGGTGGTTCGAATCCACCAGTGGCTTCTCAGGTGAAAGATGGGCCAGTCTCCTTCTGTGCAGCTTCAGGAAGCCCAGTGGAGGGTCAGCCGTGAGTTGTTTTCAACTTGACGGCAATGACTTTGACTTAATGGCTTCCTCCTAATAACCTAGTGAGGTAGACTCTATTAAGATCCTCATTTTATGGAAGAGTCGAGCGGCCTGCCCAAGGGTCACACAGCTGATGGATGGCAGAGCTGTGATTTGAACCCAGGCAGCCTGGCCCCAGCGCCTCTTTCCTCTCTTTGCGCTAGTCTTTCAGCTCATACATTCATCCCACATGTAAACCTTTCCTTGTGCTGGACATGAGGGCATAGGGATGCCCGGTCCTCCGAGGACTTGCTGCCCTGAGGGGAAGTGGGCACACACCCTGAGCTGGGTCTCTCATGAGGATAGAGCATAGGAGAAGCTCATGAATTTCATTCAATAAGGGAAGCGTAGGATCAAGGAGGCTGGTGGTAGAGCAGAGTCTTGAGGGCTGGTGGGTAAAAGAAAAAAGGATAGGGCAGGCGGAAATGTGCTGCCAGCCAGGTATGACATGAGCATACGTGCCCTCTCTCCCTCTCCTCTCTCTGTCCCACCGCCTCTGCCCAGTACATCCCGCTGCGGGCTTGGCTCTACCGAGACGGCTTTGCTCGATTCTCCAACACCCGCTTCACGCTGAGCAGCATCGATGACCAGTGTATCCTGCTCCCCCTCCCGCCCCGCCTCTGGCCTGTTCCAAGTGGACATGTCCCTCCCACCAGTGTCTGCCGAGTGCCTGCTATGCTATGGTCTGGGCTCTGAGAAACAGCATGATCATGACAGGCCTCCTTTCCTGGGTGCAGGAGGGCTTACATCAGGTGGGAGCCAGGGGTCGTCCAGGGAGCCACGGGGAGCACTTTGTTCAGAAAGCTCACCCCCAGACTGCTTTGCCCGATGATCATTTTAATAACGTGCCAAAGAGCCATGGCTCTTCATACAGGATCAGACGGCTTTAACCTCCTTGGGGAATGTGTGAGCCTTTATGTGCATTTACTGGCCTAGTACATCTCAGTGTGGGTGCACCAGTGAGACCTGCTCATCATAACAGCTCACGGGCCTCCGCTGACAGAAAAGAGGTGGCTAGACTCTATGGGCACTGGCATGAAGCCTTTGAGAATCCCTCCACCGAACCACACTGCACCACCATTGCCCTCTGGAAAGGAGTTAGACTCTGAGGTTTTAATTTGTGTTTTAGAATTTATTTTGTTGTTGTCATTGAAAATACACACAACAGAGCATATACCAGTCAGCTGTTTCTGAATGTGTAATTCATTGGCACTGATTATGTCTGTTCTCAACTTCCTTTTCTAAGTTGTTCTCCTTCCATTAATATAAACTTACTCCGGTGGCCTAGTGGTAAGAAGCTGCCCTGCAATCCCAGAGGCAAGCAGTTCAAATCTACCAGGTGCTCTGTGAGAGAAAAATGGGCAATCTCCTCCCGTGTGATTTACTGCCTCTGAAAACCCCCTGGAGGGTCCTGTATGGGTCAGTTCTGAGTCGACAGCAGACAACCACAACAGCAGCTGACCCTTAAGTGCCCTGTCTGGTTTCTCGAGTTGTTGTCAGTTTGATCCCATACAGATTAATCTTTTAAAAGCCTTCTGTTCAATACAGATATTCTTTACTGCTTAAGTTAAACTATTGTTTGGTTTTAAGACTTCAAGGAATACTTTTGGTTTAAGGTTTAATGTTTATCTTAGGGCCAGTTTCAAGAGTTTATTATCCCCGGTTCCAGAAAGGCCAAAGTCCGTTTCAATTTGAAATTCTAATCTGTATCGACATCATTTTGAGAAGGATTCTTCCTGAGAATCTTCAATAACAATTTAAAAATCTTTGTTAACAAAATCTTCAATAACAATATTGTGTGACCAGACACCATCCAGTCTGTTCTCTTGATGCTGAGCTTCAATCCATATTGAAAGTTGTAGTCTTTGACCTTCTGCAGCAAGCGCTTCAGGTCCACCTTACTTTCAGCAAGCAGGGTTGTTTTATCTGCATAATGCAGATTCTGATCATTTGCTGCCTCTTAAAATGGTTAAATATCAACCAATTCCTATTGAAACAACAACTCTGTATTCCACTCATCTTCCTTTGAGGTTTCCTGTGTCATTCAGCATTTTGCCTGTTAAAAACGGAGAAAGAAACCAAACCCATTTTCATCAATTCAGTTCCAACTCATACATCCTTGTCAGACAGTCAACCTTTTATGGGAGCAAATTGCCTTCTCTTTTTCATGTGGGAGCATTCAGTGGGTTTGAACTGCTAACCCTTCTGTTAACCTCTGTGCCACCATATTGCAGCTTCGGGCAGAGATTTTTCTTCATTTCTTCTTCTGAGAAATGCTGAGTATATCCTTCCCTTTTGAGTTTCTAACTCCAGCTCTTCACACATTTCATTATTATGTTTTACTTTGTCTTCTTGAGTCAGCCCTTGACATCTGTGTAACTCTCTTAAGTCCTCATTTCTTCCTTCCCTCTTTCTACATTTCGACAGTCTAGAGCAGGTATCAGAGTCTCTTCTGACATTCATATTGTCCTTCTTTCCTTCCTTCCTTCCTTCCTTCCTTCCTTCCTTCCTTCCTTCCTTCCTTCCTTCCTTCCTTCCTTCCTTCCTTCCTTCCTTCCTTCCTTCCTTCCTTCCTTCCTTCCTTCCTTCCTTCCTTCTCTTTTTAATGAACTTATGCTTTTTAAAAATGTATGATATCTACATTGTCATCCCACAACTTGTCATTGGTCTTTGGTCATTAGTGTGCAGTGTGTCAAATTTATTCCTGAGATGGTCTCTCAGTTCAAGTGGAATATACTCAAAGTCATACTTTGATTCTGTCGTCTTGTTTTCCTTTTTCTTCAGCTTCACTTTGAGCTTTCAAATGAGCATTTGATTGTCTGTTCTGCATTCAGCCTGTATCCTTGGTTTGATCAATGATATTGATCTCAATTGTTTCTTTCCAAAGACCAGTCAGTTAGAGTTCTGTATATTCTGTCTGGTGAAGTCCACACGTATAGCTGCTGTTTATGTTGTTGAGTTTGTATTTGAAATTAATAAATCATCAGTCATACAATATTACCTTGGGCACTCTCCAGCATAGTCTCTGTCATGAATGTGACGTCATTCCTCATCAGTTTGTCATTCCTGGCATAGAAGACCATACGATTGTCCTATTCAGAATGACCAATACCAGTCTGCTGTCTGCTCTGGTGGCACAGTCCATGGCATCTCACACTGCTAATCCTAATTCCACGAACAGCTCCACGTGAGAGAGAAGGATGATCTCCTCCCATTAAGTTTTACAGCCTCAGCAACTGGATGGTGGAGTGCAGTGTATTTGAGTAAGTGAGTCCATTTCCAATCACTGTTGCCTCTGGTGGCTTAGAGGTAAAGAATTGCACTGCCAAACCAAAAGCATGTAGTTCATATCCACCAGCTTCTCAAAAGGAAGAAAGATAGGCATTCTCCACCCATGTGATTTACGGCCTCTGAAATCCCACTGGAAGGTCCGCTATGAGTCTGTCCTGACTTGACAGTTTATAGCAATCATGCCTAGGACATTGACCTTTATGTGTTCCATTTAATTTTTGTTAACCAGTTTTCCTAGATTCATACTTCATACATTCTATGTTCTAATTATTTTTTTATTT